AGCCGCCAGACTGGGCGCCTTTTCTGGGGCTGGCGCGGGCGGTGCTGGCCAGGTTGGGGGTCGCCGTGCAGAGGCCTGGGGCTGCGGAGACCACCTCGAGTCCTACTGGGGCTAGGACTGGGAGTTCGGCAACTCCTTCTCGGCCGCCAGACTCACCCTACGCCTTATCCGCTGGGGTCGCAGACTCCAGCGCGGTGGCTAGGGCAGAGGGCGCCACTTGTTCCGCGACTGGGGCTACCTCAGGTGCTGCGAGTACGAGGCTCCCAGGAGCGGAGGCGCTGGGCGAGCCAACGGCGCCTGGCTGGAGGCTCGACAGTGTCCTGGGGCCAGGCTACCAGTTGCCCGTCGGCGCCCACGCGGAGTCGCTCAAACACTTCCGGGCTGGTTACGACGAGGACTGGGCGGACGCAGTGCTCGGCCTGTACGGCGATACGGTGGAGGACCCAGTCGAGGTGGACTTAACGGAGGAGGAGGCTCTTCCCCGCATCAGTGAGGATTCTGATCCGTCATCGGCACCACCATCAGAGGAGCGATGCCAGCAGGGAGAGCTGAACCCTATAGCTGACGCTAAGTATGTGGGGAATCCTAGGGGCCCTCAGAGGCCAACAGGTGAACCCACTGGCTCAGCGTCGTCGCATCAGGCACCCAGCGGAGGCGCAGCTTCTGTGACGCTGGACGTGGCGGCGCTGGAGCCGCAGGGGATGGTGGACGTGCTCTACGGCGAGTTTGCCAAGTTGATGGAGGCCGACTTGCTCGGCCTGTACCACGTGCCGCCGACGGACGCCCACCTGTACGTCGGGCGCGCGGCGGACCCGAAGTTCGTGGAGAGGGACGTGCTGCTGCCAGGTGGGGGACCACACCCCAAGGGCTGCCCAGTCTCGGCTCGATGGCGCCGCATCGGGGCCGTCATGTGGGAGATGATGGCAGCTCGCAGGCGCTTGCACGTGGAGACGGCGATCCCAGCGGCCCTGGCTCAGTTGAAGGGGCTCGCGGCCAAGGCGGGTGCCCTGGCATCGGATGACCTTGGCGGCGACTTGCTCACGGAGGGGGAGGTCCGCAGGTGGAAGCGCCAGCTGCACACGCTCAGCCACCTCACCTTCTGCGAGTTGGAGAAGCTGGAGCAAGAGGCCAGGGACTTGGCGGCGAAGCTGGAGGACCGCTGTGGCAAGAAGCGGTGCCAGCAGTGGCGCCAGTGGGCGCAGGAGGCGGTGCAGGACGGTGCGGGCGCCGCCCACCGCTACTGCAAGGCGCCGCTGGCCTGGGCCCCAGACCTCGATGGCGAAGGGGGGCCAGCAGGCATCTCGGCGACGCTGGGCGCGCTGAGGGACGAGTACCAGGAGGTGTGGAGGCACAAGGAGGTGATGCCGCTCGACTTGGACGATGCCCTTCCCTCCGAGCTGCTCGAGGAGGCAGGGGTGGCGCCCACCCCAGAGGCCATCAGGAGGGCGGCGGCGTCGTTCAAAGCGTCGACGGCGACGGGGGTGGACTGCATCAAGCCCCAGTCCTTCGGCCACCTGAGCGACGACGGCTTGATCGCGCTGGGTTTGGTGCTGCAGGTGCTGGAGGCGACTTGCAGGATCCCAGGGCAGCTCGACACCCTCTACATCTTTTTCCTGGTCAAGGCCGAAGGCGGGTGGAGACCCATCGGCCTCTTGAGCAGCCTCGTCAGGCTGCTGGGCAGGATACGCCGAGGAGAGGCCCAGGAGTGGGAGCGCCAGCACCCCAGGGACTTCTTCTTCGGCGGTGAGGGCAAGTCATGCGAGGATGCGGTGTGGCTGCAGGCCTTCGACGCGGACTTGGCGACAGCGATGGAGCAGCACTCGATGACGTCCATGCTGGACTTGTCCAAGGCCTACGAGCGAGTCAGCCATGCAGGGCTGGTGGCAGCAGCCCGAAGACACGGCTTCAGGTTGAGGCGCTTGAAGCTCATCCTCCGATCGCATGGGGGACGGCGCAGACTCTGCCTGAGCAAGTGGGTCTCGGAGGCCTTCTCGCTGGGGACGTCGATCGTGGCGGGGTGCACCTTCGCAACGACGCTGCTGAAGGTGATGCTCCTCACGGCCATGGACCTCCTCATGCAGTCCTGGCAGAACGTGCGCGCCTACCTGGTCGTGGACGACGTCACGCTGGCGGTGTACGGGCGGCTGCGCGACGTGGAGTTCGGGGTCTTCGGCGCGACCAGGTGGCTCTGCCAGAGGTTGGAGGAGGACGGCTTCACGATCTCGGTCACCAAGGGGGTGATAGTCTCCAGTGACACCGACGCTGGCAAGAGGACGGCCCACCGCCTCAGGAAGTGGGACTTCAGGCTGCGGCGCGAGGCCAAGAACCTGGGGATTGACTTCAGGCTGGATGGCAAGGCCTCGTGGGGCGTGCTGCGTGGGCGCCTGGGGCGCCTGGCTGTGAAGGCGTCGCGCTACATGCAGCTCCGACGTGCTGGCGCCAAGCTGGGCTCGGTTTTCAGGTGCAGCGGCCTGGCGACCATCCTCCACGGAGCCCGCGTCAGGGGCGTGCCGACCAAGGTCCTTGACAAGGCCAGGACCATCAACGGCCAGGCCATCTCGGGGGCGTGCGGCAAGCGGAGCAGGACGCTGCAGTTCGCGGTCCAGCCTGGGACGGGATGGCGCCGCGACCCCGCCTACGCGGCCAATGGTTTGCCGCTGCTGGGTTGGGCCAAGGCGGTGTTCCAACGGGCCAGGCCCGCGAGCAGCATGGACACCGTGTTCAGCGCTGCTCAGCCTGCCCATTGGGGCCAGGTTACGGGGCCTGCTGGGGCTGTGCGCCTCAGCCTCGCTCGCATTGGCTGGCGAGCGGAGAGCTGGCACGTCTGGATCACCGACAGGGGCGAGCGCCTCGACCTGACGGTGCACAGCCCGAAGCTGATCGGGGTGTGGGTCGAGCGGGGCGTGCACAGGGCGCTGATGAGGACGGTGCCTGCCCACTTCCACGACCAGCTGGAGGGGCCGCCCACCATGTACCCCGTCCGCGCGGCGCTGGACCTGATCAGGGGGCTGGGCGACGCTGAGCAGACGGCGCTGGTGGAGAGCCTCGTGTGCGGGGGCCTCGTCTCGCAGTGCAACCTCTACGACGAGCGGGCGGCCGTCTCCTCCGACTGTCAGTGGTGCGGCTACGGCATGGGCACTCACCACCACAGGCTGTTCTGCTGCGAGGGGACGGCGACGGTGGCGCGCGACATGGGCCTGGCTGCTGTGCGCGCCGCAGGCGCAGCTGCGGAGGTCACGGACATGGGCTTCGTGCGGTGCCTCGTTCCGCTCGGGCTGGAGCTGGCGCCGCAGCCGGCTGCTGCTGAGCGGAGCCTGCGCGCGGGGGCCCTTCGGCGAGCTGGGTTTTCGGGCACCGTGTGCATCGACGGCTCAGCCTTTTTCCCGCAGCTGGTGGAGATCACTCGCACTGGCTGGGCGGGCATCATGGTCACCACCGACGGCCGTGTGATTGGCGGCGTGCTGGGGACGGTGCCAGGCCTGGTGCAGGAGATCGGGTTTGCCGAGCTGTACGCGCTGCTGGTGGTCTTGCGAGAGGCCGACGGCGACCTGGAGATCATCACGGACTGCAGGAACGTGGTGGACGACTACGAGAAGGGCGAGCTGTGGTGCACCAGCCCAGAGTCCAGGTACGCGGAGCTCTGGAGCGAGGTGTGGACGCGAGCCCGCGACATGCCTGGGTCGCTGGTCATCCGCTGGACCCGTGCCCACACCAGCTGGGCTGCGGCGGAGGCGGCTGGCGTGCCAGCCCACTGGCACATCGGCAACCAGGAGGCCGACAAGCGCGCCAAAGAGGGCGCCAGGCTGCACTGGGACTTCGAGGAGGCGGAGGAGCTCGCCACCCGTGTGAGCTCGGCGGCGGAGGCGAGCAAGCAGCTCCTCCGCCATCACGGCGCTGTGCTGAAAAGTGTCGCAGGCGCGGGCTGGCCCGATCGGAGTCCTCTTCCCCGTCCCTGCCCCCAGCAGGTCCTCTCCCTCGTGGCGAACCCTAATGGGCACGTCTTGGGCCGTCTTGGGAGGACCTGGGGATGTGGCATCTGTGGGGTAAGGAATGGGCTCCGATCTCGTATAGTCTGCCACCCGTGTCCTGGAGTGCCTAGGCCTGCGGCGATCGCCCATCCTTCCCATAGGCTGTGGGTGGTTCGGCGTGGGCGTGGGACGGGTGGGGGGGACGGTCGGGGCCTTGGGGGGGACGAGGCGATCGTCTTCTGTAAGCTCTGCGGGGCATACGCCCGTCGGCAGACCCATCTGTTGGCCGTGCCCTGTCGTCCCTGGTCCAGTCGTCCCAGGGACTCGGTCCGTCTGGGGAAGCTCGCCCTGGACCGTCTCCGCGCTGGTCGGGAACCCCAGGGCGACGTTTTTTGGGGGCACCCGTTTCTGCTCGCCCGTGGTTCGGCCCCTGGTCCGAAAGCGGTCGAGGGTGCCGAGTTTAATGTTTTGAGGGCACCGCCTGCCCTGGGTGGCGGTGCCGCGCCCGAATTCTTGGTGCCCCGAGGTTCTGAGGTGTCTTGGCCTTGACTTCGGAGGCGGGTCCTGCCACTGAGCAGGTGAGCGAGTCTTGGCAGAGCTGGACTCGCTTGGTAGGATACCAGAGGATACCAGAGGAGGGGGAGGAGGAAGCAGAGGAGAAGGAAGAGGAGGAAGACGAGGAGGAGGAGGAGGAGGAGGAGGAGCGCACGAGGTGGGGAGGCGAGGCAGGGGAGAAGGAGCGGCAGGAGGAGGAGGAGGAGGAGGAGGGAGGAGGAGGAGCAGGAGGAGCAGAGAGGAGGAGGAGGAGGGAGGAAGGAGGAGGAGGAGGAGGGAGGAGGAGGAGGAGGAGGCGGAGCAGGTGGAGGAGGTGGAGGAGGAGGAGGAGCAGGAGGAGGAGGAGGAGGAGAGGAGGAGGAGGAGAGGATGAGGAGGTGGAGGAGGAGGAGGAGGAGGAGTGGCGGACGTCCCCCCTCGCAGACACCCGACGTCTCACGGCGTCACCCCCCCCTGGCGTTGCCCAGCTGCCCCGAGGAGCTCCCGGAGGCGGCCTGCCGAGGTGGCGGGCCCGTCGCCGCGCGGGGCCGCGAAGACGGCCGACCTCGGCCAGCACCAGGCGGGCGCGACTCTCGTCGTGAAGCACCTCGCGGAGGCCGCCTCCTCCTCCTCCTCCTCCTCCTCCTCCTCCTCCTCCTCCTCCTCCTCCAGAGGGTGCCCATGCCGCTGCCCTCCGCCCGTTTTCCCCGTTCTGGGCCTCCTCGAGGGCCCTCGTCACCACCGCTGGATGCGCCTCGAGAGCCTGGTCAGAGCGCACCCTGGGAGAGGTCCGGGGAGTGGCGGTATCGGCTTCCCCATGGGGGTGTGACGGACTCGGGCGTTTTCGTCAGTTCTCTGCAGTTCTCCAGCCTCAGGGTGCCTTGCAGCGGCTGCGCTTCGCCGAGAGCGTTCCGGGTGTGCCCAGATCGTCCTGAAGGGCTGCCGGAGGCCCAAGTTGTTGCCAGAAAAAGCTGGGGCCGCCGTCGCCATTTGCGCTCGGGGGCGTCTAAGATCAGGAACGACTGAATCACGCATGCTTACGCTTCGTGCTCATGCGCGATCGTTCGTAAGCACTACTAGTAACCTATTAGAGCTGGACCCAGTCCTAATAGCATCCCGTCAGAGCTGGATCCAACCCGAATGGAGTCCGATTAGAGCTGGATCCAGCTGTAATGGAATCCTATTCGGGCTGTATTCAGGTTAATATAATCCGATCAGAGCCAGACCCAGCCCTCATATAATCTTACCAGACCTGGATCCAGCCCTGATAGAATCCTGGTAGAGCTGGATCCGTCCTTACAGAAAGTCCGCGAGGGCCATCGGGTTCTGGAGGCTGTTGAAAGTGTTCTGCGGATTTGATGCTGAAGGGTTGCGTTGCGTTGCGTTGCGTTGCGCGGGGATGGGTGGGGGGGTCTGGGGCCCCAGTCTGGCTGTTCACCTTGCAGTATTAGACAACACGTGGACAGGGGCCCCAGAGCAGGAGAGAGAGAACAGCCTTACAATGACTGTTGCTGTTGTTGCTGTTGCTGTTGCTGTTGCTGCTGCTGCTGCTCCTGTTTTTTCCCAACCCTCCTGTGTTGGGTACTCGTTTTGAATAAAGCAGTGTGGTCGCCCCGTCCTTCCTTCCTTCTCCTCCCCTCTCCTCCCCTCCTCCTTCTCTCCTGTTTCCGGCGTTCCCCTCTCCTCTTCCCTCGTGCCGTCGGGCTGCGATCTGCGCAACTGTCGCCACTCGTGGGCTCCTGGGAGGCCCAGCGGAGGTGGGTCCCACGCGGATCACCTCGGCACCTCGCCGCCCCCTGGGGGGCTTGCGATCTGCGCAGGGGGGCTTGCGATCTGCGCAGCTGTCGCCACTTTCGTGGGTTCCTGGGAGGCCCAGCGGAGGTGGGTCCCACGCGGATCACCTCGGTACCTCGCCGCTCCTTTGGGGGGCTTGCGATCTGCGCAATTGTCGCCACTTTCGTGGGCTCCTGGGAGGCCCAGCGGAGGTGGGTCCCACGCGGATCACCTCGGTACCTCGCCGCCCCCGGGGGTCTTGCGATCCGCGCAACCGTCGCCGCTTTCGGGGAGGCCCAGCGGAGGTGGGTCCCACGCGGATCACCTCGGTACCTCGCCGCCCCTTTCGGGGGCTTGCGATCTGCGCAATTGTCGCCACTTTCGTGGGCTCCTGGGAGGCCCAGCGGAAGTGGGTCCCACGCGGATCACCTCGGTACCTCGCCGCCCCTTTCGGGGGCTTGCGATCTGCGCAATTGTCGCCACTTTTGTGGGCTTCTGGGAGGCTCAGCGGAGGTACGTCATACGCGGATCACCACGGTATTTCGCCGCCCCCTGGGGGGCTTGCGATCTGCGCAATTGTCGCCATTTTCGTGGGCTCTGGGAGGCCCAGCGGAGGTGGGTCCACGCGGATCACCTCGGTACCTCGCCGCTGCCCTTGGGGGGCTCGCGATCTGCGCAACTGTCGCCACGTTCGTGGGCTCCTGGGAGGCCCATCGGAGGTGGGTCCACGCGGATCACCACGGGATCTCGCCGCCCCTTTTGGGGCTTGCGCTCTGTGCAATTGTCGCTATTTTTGTGGCTCCTCGCGGATCACCACAGCACCTCGCCGCCCTTGGAGGCTGCGATCTGAGCAATTGTCGCGACTTTTGTGGGCTCCTGGGAGGCCCAGCGGAGATGGGTCCCACGCGGATCACCACGGGACCTCGCCGCTCCCGGGGGCTGCGATCTGCGCAATTGTCGCCACTTTCGTGGGCTCCTGGCAGCCCAGCGGAGGTACGTCATACGCGGATCACCACGGGACCTCGCCGCCCCTGGGGGGCTGCGATCTGCGCAACTGTCGCCACTTTCGTGGGCTCCTGGGAGGCCCAGCGGAAGTGGGTCCCAGGCGCATCACCTTGGTACCTCGCCGCCCCCTGGGGGGCTTGCGATCTGCGCAATTGTCGCCACTTTCGTGGGCTCCTGGGAGGCCCAGCGGAGGAAGGTCCCACGCGGATCACCTCGGTACCTCGCCACCCCTGGGGGGCTTGCGATCTGCGCAATTGTCGCCCATTTCGTAGGCTCCTGGGAGGCCCAGCGGAGGTGGGTCCCACGCGGATCAGCACGGGACCTCGCCGCCCCCTGGGGGTCTTGCGATCTGCGCAAATGTCGCCATTTTCGTGGGCTCCTGGCAGGCCCAGCGGAGGTGATTCCCACGCGGATCACCACGGGATCTCGCCGCCTTTTTGGGGGGCTCGCGATCTGCGCAATTGTCGCCACTTTCGTGGGCTCCTGGGAGGCCCAGCGGAGGTGGGTCCCACGCGGATCACCTCGGTATCTTGCCGCCCCCGGGGGTCTTGCGATCCGCGCAACCGTCGCCGCTTTCGGGGAGGCCCAGCGGAGGTGGGTCCCACGCGGATCACCTCAGTACCTCGCCGCCACATGGAGGGCTTGCGATCCGTGCAACTGTCGCCACTTTCGTGGGCTCCTGGGAGGCCCAGCGGAGGTGGGTCCCACGCGGATCACCTCGGTATCTCGCCGCCCCCTTGGGGGGCTTGCGATCTGCGCAATTGTCGCCACTTTCGTGGGCTCCTGGGGGGCCCAGCGGATGTACGTCATACGCGGATCACCACGGGACCTGGCCGCCCCCTGGGGGTCTTGCGATCCGCACAATTGTCGCTGCTTTCGTGGGCTCCTGGGAGGCCCAGCGGAGGTAGGTCCCAGGCGGATCACCTAGGTACCTTGCCGCCCCCTGGGGGCTTGCGATCTGCGCAATTGTCGCCACTTTCGTGGGCTCCTGGGAGGCCCAGCGGAGGTGGGTCCCACGCGGATCACCTCGGTACCTCGCCGCCTTTTTGGGGGCCTCGCGATCCGTGCAACTGTCGCCACTTTCGTGGGCTCCTGGGAGGCCGAGCGGAGGTGAGTCCCACGCGGATCACCTCGGTATCTCGCCGCCCCCTTGGGGGGCTTGCGATCTGCGCAACTGTCGCCACTTTCGTGGGCTCCTGGGAGGCCCGTCATACGCGGATCACCACAGCACCTCGCCGCTCCTGGGTGGCCGCGATCTGCGCGACTGTCGCCTCTTTCGTGGGCTCCTGAGAGGCCCAGCGGAGGTACGTCATACGCGGATCACCTCGGTACCTCGCCGCCACATGGAGGGTTGCGATCTGCGCAATCATCGCCATTTTTGTGGGCTCCTGGGAGGCCCAGCGGAGGTACGTCATACGCGGATCACCACGGGACCTCGCCGCCCCTGGGGGGCTGCGATCTGCGCATTGTCGCCACTTTCGTGGGCTCCTGGGAGGCCCAGCGGAGGTACGTCATACGCGGATCAGCACGGGACTTCTTGCTGCGCTCTTCGGAAAGCATTGCTGGGTGCTTCTCCCGCGCACTGCGGGTCCTTCAGGATGCCAGTCAGCATTGAGTAGTCCTGAGTATAATCGCCACATCTATAGAAAGGGTTGGGTATGTCACAGGGATTTGTTCCTATTCATTTCTCAATGAGGATTATTGTGGATCTCCAGAAACGGTTCCGCGCGCTGTCGCCTCGACGCCGGCTACATTTTCTGTGAAAACGAGGCCTCCGCGCGAGCGTTGGCTTGAGTGTGAAAGTGGGACCTTGGAGGCCCGGCTACGACGACAACGGCTCCTGCTCGATAGTTCCTCACAATTGTTGACGCTTCGCGTATCCCCACCAGCCCATCCAGAAACGATGCTCAGGGGAGTTAAGGTGATCAGGGAAGTCGGGGAGCATGCAGAATAACAAAGGGCGGGGGAAGCTGTCACAGACCCCGAGAGGGGGAGGATGGAAGAGGAGTCGTCGTCGTCGTCGTCGTCGTCGAGGAGGAGGAGGAGGAGGAGGAGGGGGAAGAGGAGGAGGAGGAGGAGGAGGAGGAGGACGGAGAAGGAGGAAGAATCGGAGGAGGAGGAGGAGGAGGGGAAGGAGCTTCTTGGGGGTCTTTTGAGGGCCTCTTGGAGGGCTTTTTGGGCGCCTTGGGGCATCTTGGGCGCCTCTTGGGACCCTCTTGAGGCGCTCTGGGGAGCCTTCGGGGCGCTTTTGGGGCCATCTTGGAGGGAGTCGATCAAACAAGAGGGGGGGTTTAATTAGCGCCCCCCCTCGGAAGCCCCTAAAATCGCCTCTTGGACCCCTCTTGGAACGCTCTTGGAGTGCTCTTGGGCGCTCTTGGGGCCGTCTTGGGGCTCTTTTGGGGCTCTCTTGGGGCCCTCTTGGGCCATCTTGGAGCCATCTCCAGGCCTCGGATAGCCATCGGAAGCGAAAAGGCGAGAAAGCAAAAATCATTGATTTTCCTTAGGTTTTGGGACGATTTTGGCCTCTTCGGGGCCTCCTTGGGGAGCTGTTTGGCCACTTGGAGTTATCTTGGGGCCGTCTTTGGGCTTCTTGGAACCATCTTAGGAGCCATCGTGAGCGATCTTGCGCTATCTTGAGCCATCTTGGAGCTCATCTTGGGTTCTCTGAGGCGCTCTTGGAGCCGTCTTGGGCCATCTTGGACGCTCTAACTACCCGCGGCCCCCCCCGTCCAGGTCCAGGGGAGGGGGTAGGGGGAGGGGTAAACCCCTCCCCAAGGGGGAAGAGGGAGGGGTGGAAGAGGATCTGTTCTAGACCACCTACGCCCAGAGGGCTGGTGGGATTTACCCCGAGACACCCTGGCCAACGATGCCCCCGAACTCAGGAACGGCGCTCTCGCTCGAGACTTCTTCGCAATTCAGTCAAGCTGGCAGAGGCCCAGCCACGACGACAAGGGCTCCTGCTCGATACTTCCTCACGATTTACTCCGAGAGCCCCTGGCCAGGAAGGCCCCCGAACTCAGGAACGGCGCTCTCGCTCGAGACTTTTCTCGTGATTCAGTCATACTGGTGGAGGTCCAACTGCGACGACAAGGGCTCTCGTTTGATACTTCCTCAAGATGTATTCGCAGAGGCCCTTGCCAGAGAGGCCCCCGAACTCAAGAGTGGCGCTCTTGCTCGAGATGTCCTCGTAATTCAAGTAAGTTGGTGGAGGCCCAGACACGGCAACAAGGGTTCCCGTTCGATATGTCTTAATATGTATTCTGAGAACCCCTGGCCTGGCCCGAGAGGCCCCCGAACTCAGGAACGACGCTCTCGCTCGAGAGTTCCTCGCACTTCAGTCAGTGGCCGACAAGGAAGGTATTCCCCCCGAAAGGGGGTGCGATCCAAGACGAAGTGGGCGGGTATCGATGGTTGGTGCATACAGACTGCAAAACACGCGTGCCAGTAAGAGCGAACAGTCTTAGCATGATTGTTGTTGTTGCTGTTGTTGCTGTGTTGAGTCCTCTGGCGCCTCTCAGGGTCCATTTCGATCCTATCGATCTGGTTCGACATCTATTCTGGCCGTGCCGATCCGATTCGATTTTCAGATTCGGACCATCTGATGCGGCCCGATTCTTGCATGGCGTCGTTGTGCATGCTGGCGCGGCCGATTCGATCCGATTCCGACTCCGTGCCGGTGTAGCCCGATTTGACATACATTTCGATCCGATCCGATGTCCTGATTCGATGGTGGTTACTGCTACCCTCCCATCCCCCTGGGTAACTTGGGGGGGAGGCTGGACCTACCCCCACACATGCTGTTGTTCGCGCGCAGATTGTGGCGAGCGGAGATCGCAGAGTAACCCCGTCCCGACGTGCCCCACCCCGCCCAATCGCTACCGTTACCCGGGGCCCCAAGCCCCCCTCGGTAACGACCCTTATTTGAAATAGCAGTAAAAATGCCTGGGGACTTGTGACATTATGTGCACAGGGTCTCTCCAAATAACAGGAACCGAGGTACCTTTGACCGACTGGCTAAAGAACGTCGGGCCACAAACACCGTCCTTCCATTCGCAGCATCATTCCCGCGACTTACATCATAGGCAGGAAGGCGACCACAAACAGACAACGGAACACACCATCAGCTTGGCTTTCTGTCGCAAGCCTTGCGGGGTGAGGGACGTCGGAGGTTATGCCAGGAAAGGGGAGCGGCTTCCGACCACCACGAGGAGGAGGATGAGGAGGAGGAGGAAGAGGAGGAGGAGGAGGAGGAGGAGGAGGCGTTCGGAGGAGTTCGGAGGAGGATGGAGGAAGGAGGAGGAGGGAGGAAGAAGAGCTCGGAGGAGGAGGAGGAGGAGTTCGGAGGAGGAGGAGGAGGACGACTCTTCTTGGCCCTCGCGCCCCTGGGCTCAGCCAGCCCGACTGGGCTCTTCGCGTTGCCGGTACTTGGTCCCCCCTCCCCTGGCGCGGGTGGCGCGACATGGCGCGACGCACGGCGCGGCGCACGGCCCTGCGCGCGGGGCACGACACGCGGCGCGGCGGGCGGCACCGCACATCACTGCGCTGATGCAGGCGGCGTCGGCGACCACGTAGGCGAAGGGGGGCGCTCTTCGGGCGCGGGCGGAGACCCCCCCGCGACCTCCGCTCAGCCGAATCTGGCGCGGCGGCGAAGGGCGACCGAAGTCGATCCAATCCAGCCGTGTGCGACGAGGACCCCCTGAGTCCTCCTGTCGCTGAACGAAGACTCGCAGTGCATGATGGTGATGGTGATGGTGATGGTGATGGTGATGGTGATGGTGATGGTGATGGTGATGATGATGATGATGATGATGATGATGATGATGATGATGATGATGATGATGATGATGATGATGATGATGATGATGATGATGATGATGATGATGATGATGATGATGATGATGCTGATGGATGTGATGATGATGATGATGATGATGCTGATGCTGATGATGATGATGATGATGATGATGATGATGATGATGATGATGATGATGATGATGATGATGATGATGAGGAGGAGGAGGAGGAGGAGGAGGAGGAGGAGGAGAAGGAGGAGGAGGAGGAGCCATGGCTTGGGTGTGTGTGTGTGTGTGTGTGTGTCTCCGCCGCCGCCGCCGCCGGGCTCGGGGAGTCTCGGCTGGGCGCGCGGCTGGCGAGGTGACGATGTCCGTCTTCGACCTGGTCGCCCACGGCATCTTCGCCCTGAGGGCGGGGGGGCGGGGCGGGAGGCACGCACTGGGGGCGGGGCGCCCCCTGCCAGAGGGCCAAGGCCTCCGAGGTTGTTTTTCTGGGTGCCGCTGCTCGTGTTTTTCGTTTGTTTGGCTCCTCTCTTGGGAACCTATCACTTCTGCGCTGTCTCGTCACTCGGCTCGCCCGGGCGGAGGCCTCGCACTGCTTGCCGTCTGGTGCCTCCCGCAGCAGGGGCGTCCGGGGGCGGGCGGGGACGGCCCTCCGAGCAGGCGCGGGCCCCCTCCGAGGGCGGGGGCCTTCTTGGAGGCCCGCGCGGCCTCGGAGAAGCCCGGACAGACTGGGCGTGGCCCTCCTGAGAAGGCCTTTCAAGATTCTAGGAAGCTCCCCGCCTTCTCAGCTCAGGCCGCCTCCCGTGCTCACCCCCTGCTGCGCGCGTCGGCAACGTCGAGAGGAGAGCCACCGGCTCCTCCGGCGCAGCGTATGGAGCAGCACCATGCGCTGGTGGCGGCTGCAGCACACGGCCGCGCGGGAGGTGGTCTGGCGTCCGGCGAGGTTTGATGGTACTCCGTAGCTGGTGGCTCCCGAGATCCAGCACGTGCGCAGGGTCACTCGGCGGCGACCGAGCGTGGGGAAGTGAGAAGGGGAAGGCCCTCTCAGAAGGCGGCGGGGCTTCTCAGAAGCCCCCCAGCCTTCTCAGAAACTGTCTGTGTCTTCGGGGAAGGTTTCGAAAGCTTCTCAGAAGGCCGTGGGACTTCGAGCTTTCTGAGAAGGCCCCCCCCCCTTCTCAAGTCCCTCCAGGCTGGCCGCCGAGACCTGCTTTTGGCTCGACATGATCAGTCCTCCTCCTCTCAGGAGGGGTAAATCGACACAGACACATATGAATGTCGATTCCCAGGAAATATATGAAAATATTGTAAGTGGAGGGAGCACGACCATCCAGAGCATAGTTACTTATGGAAAGATGTGGAGGATCCTGGGAGTTGTGTCTCTCTTTTTTTTGTTGTGTGTGTGTGTGTGTGTGTCCCTGGCCCGCTTTGCAGCCCCCCTCCTCATCCTCCGATGCCCTGTCTCCTCCTCGCCCTCAGGCGCCCTGCTCCCTCGTTCTCTGCTCCTCCTCGTCCTCCTACATTTAAAGTCGGGCCTGTCCTTCTACAGGAGGGATATCAAAAAATAGCCAACAATTTGTCTGGGGACAATTGTTTGATTCTTTTTTACCATTTGGGGGTATTTTTTGACTACTTTAGTTTTAGTCCAAAATCCGACTGTAGGAGGACATGCCTGACTTAATCCTACGTCTGAGGCGTGAGCGCTGCCGGGGATGGGGCACACTGTGTGTCGCCGCGCTGCTTGTTCTGGCGCGGTGCCTTCCGTCTTGGGGGCGGCGCCGCGGGCGCCAGGGCAGACTCCACCTCGGGCGCGGCAGGTTCGCCGTGGGGTTTGCCGCGGCGCCGGCCTCGTCTACTTTTGCGCGGGACTCGGGGCTTGCTGTGGGTTTGCCGTGGTGTCAGTGTCGTCCACTTGGGCGCATCGGGGACAAACGGCGCGGCGACATGTTCATTCAGAGAAGGCTAAGGCGGAGGCAGCGAGCTAAAAAGGGAACAAGGGCGGTTGTAAGAATTAGAGTCCTTCTAAGGGGTCTGGATGGTTGTGTTGCAAAGGAAGGAGGGCTCCAGCTTCTAGTCTTTGGGTCGTTGTTATGAAGGGATCCAGCGTAACGTAATCTTGTAAGTGGGCTTCAAGTGCTCTAAGTGGCTGATGGGGGAATGGAGATTTGGGTTCAATGGACTCAGCTCAGTTAGCAGGGTTATCTGACCTCCCAAGCCGTTTTGGGCACATGTAGCCCGTTTATCAGCTAAGCGAGGCCGGATCTAACAGATCTTGGCCTCCTTTCATTACATCCCCTTCTCTTCTTCGCAACCCCCGCGGTGATCCGAGTAGGCGCCTCCTGCTCAAGAAGTTCGAACACTCTTCTCCCCAGACCCCCGATGTATGTTTTTTGTGGACGGACCTTCAAGATACCATCAGACTGTCAAGGTACTCTCCTGCAAGATACCCTCAACAGTGTCACAATGCTGGAGGAAAGGGGAAGAAGAAGGGGGAGGAAGACGATGAGGAGGAGTATGAGGCGTGAGTCTGCCCAAGCCTCGTGTTGCAGAATGCATACTTCACATTTGCATGGCTTACAACGTCGACCCCCAAAGATCTCGACCTTCTCCCCAGGCTGCTTGTTCACCCCGAGCAGGTTTCTGGAAAGCCCCAGCACGCTACTCCGAGTATTTCAATAATCGTCGAGGGGGCGCCACCCCCACCGACAGCCCCACATCGACCCCCGTCGCGGGCAGCCACCGCGCGCCGAAGGCGCTCCGACCCTCGTCGCGACGCGACGACGAGGCGAAGTTGAACCCCGTCGGGGGGGTACCCCCCAACGCTTATTGAGAAACCCAGAGTAGCGAAGGCCGCCAGAGGCCGAGAACAGTCAAGGACCGTCCGCCGAGATTATTTCACGACGCGAGCCCAGACATCCTCTGATATTGTTTTTCTCAATTCAAATCCGCGGCCCAAGAACTCCCGACACCTTCCCTCGGGACAGCCTCGCGCCCCGAGTGTCGATTTTGATGGGCCTGGTGGCCTGATAACGAGACCTGGAGGCTGAATTCGAGAAAACCTGGGGGCGGCTAAGATGGGGGTGATGACTAGGGGGGGGTGGATATCATGGCGGGGGGCATGATATGATCTCATGGTGCCTTTTCTTATTTCAATACGTCCCCGGCCCCCCCCCTGGGCCGCGCACATGCCGCCAGCCATGATTTGCGCCTCCCCCTCTTGGACGCCCCCCTCTTGGCCGCCCCCGAAAAACGCCGCGATCGAAAAGTCACAGCGTCGGAGATCTGGCGGGGTGTCTGTGTCCGCGTAAGGCACCACCGCTGGACCTCCCACTGGCCCACGACAGCGGCGACAGTGGTGCAGCTGACAGACCCCCTCGCCCCAAGTATAAATTAGGAGGGCGAAGGCAGAGAGGAAGAGGAGAGAGATGGGAAGAAGGAAGGGAGGAGGAGGAGGAGGAGGAGGAGGAAGCATGGAGCAAACAGTTTTATATTCCACAACGAGGACTCATGGGCCCTGTGAGATGTGGATCACGAGGTCCCCGGGGGTCTCGACCCTCTCCTGGGGGCCCGTTTCTAATCTGATGTTTTTTTTTACGGTGCTGGGACCCAACGACGGTCCCCAGAGGCTGAACATTGCAAACATCTCCGTCGTGTTTTTTGTTGTTGATGTTGCTGTTGCTGTTGCGGTTGCTGTTGTTGTTGATGTTGATGTTGATGTTGTTGTCGTTGCCGTTGTCGTTGTCGTTGTCGTTATCGTTATCGTTGTTGTTGTTTTTGCTGTTGTTGCTGCTGCTGTTTATGTTGCTGTTGTTGTTGTGGTTGTTGTTGTTACTTACTAAACAATTATCCCAGTGCGACCCTACCCAGGAGTTGGAGCCCCTAGGAAAGCAGCATTAGTAGTAACAGTAAAGCTAAGCTAAAGCTAGGCTAAAGCTAAACTAAAGCTAAGCTAAAGCTAAGCTACAGCTAAACGAGAGCTACACTAAAGCTAAGCTAAAGCTAAGCTACAGCTAAACGAAAGCTAAACTAAAGCTAAGGTACAGCTAAGCTGAAGCTAAGCTAAAGCTAAGCTAATGCTAAGCTAAGGCTAAGCTAAAACTACGCTAAGCTAAGCTACAGCTAAGCTACAACTAAGCTAACTCGAAGCTAAAGCTAAGCAACAGCTAAGCTAATGCTAAGCTGAAGCTAAGCTAAAGCTAAGCTAAAACTTAGCTAAAGCTAACGTTAAGCTAACGCTAGCGCTAAAGCTAAGCTAAAGCTAAGCTATAGCTAAGCTAAAGCTACGCTAAGCTAAAGCTAAGCTAATGCTAAGCTAAAGCTAAGCTAAAGCTCAGTTAAAGCTCAGCTAAAGCTAAGCTGAAGCTAAGCTAAAGCTACAGTTAAAGCTAAAGCTATTGCTAAAGCTCCCAGGGGACTGGGGGAACCGCTCCCAGGGGACCGGGGGAACCGCCCGGGGCGGGGTCCACTGCCAGGCCCTTTAAGCTAACAGAGTAAGAACCCTTCTAGGCAGAGCCTAGGTAGGGAATTATTGCTGTTGGACCCCCTAAAGGCGCCCCGGCGCTCTTGCCGAGGCGTCGGCTGCATTTTCATTGAAAATGAGGCTCATCCTCGAGCGGTTCGGGGGACCGCCAAAACCGGCCCCCCAATAACAGCAACGCTCCCGTTCGAGACTTCCTCCTTTTTTACTCAGGGCCGGTGCTCTTGCTCGCCGCCGAAAGCAGCCGTCTCAACAAAGCCAGCGCTCCCGCTCGAGACTTCCTCCTGTTTTACCTTGGACAGGCGCGCTACTCTTTCCTTCATCGGCGCCGCCCCCCAGCAACAACAACGCTCCCGCTCGAGACTTCCTCCCTTTTTCCCTACCTAGGCTCTGCCTAGAAGGGTTCTTACTCTCTTGGCTTAAAGGGGCCGGGCAGTGCACACCGCCCCGGGCGGTTCCCCCAGTCCCCTGGGACCCAAGCAAAAGCAACAGCAAGGGTAAAAACAAACGCGCGGTTCCCCCAGTTGCGCTCCTTGGGTGCCAAGCAAAAGCAAAAGCAAAGGCAAAAGTGAAGGCAAAAGCGAAGGCAAAGCAAACACATAGCATAGCATAGCATAGCACAGCACAGCACAGCATATCATAGCATAGCATAGCATAGCGCAGCATAGCATAGCGCAGCATAGCATAGCATAGCATAGCATAGCATAGCCTAGCCTAGCCTAGCCCAGCATAGCACTGCGCAGCATAGCATAACATAGCATAGCATAGCATAGCACAGCATAGCGCAGCACAGCATCCACTACTACTACTACTACTACTACCACTACTACTACTACTGCTACTGCTACTGCTACTGCTATTGCTACTGCTACTGCTACTGCTACTGCTACTACTGCTACTACTGCTGCTACTGCTACTACTGCTACTACTGCTAC